TAGTAGGTAGTAGTAGGTAGTAGTAGGTAGTAGGTAGTAGGTAGTAGCTAGTAGCTAGTAGCTAGTAGCTAGTAGCTAGTAGGTAGTAGGTAGTAGGTAGTAGGTAGTAGGTAGTAGGTAGTAGTAGGTATTAGGTAGTAGTAGGTAGTAGTAGGGTAGGTAGTAGGTAGTAGCTAGTAGCTAGTAGCTAGTAGCTAGTAGGTAGAAGTAGGTAGTAGTAGGTAGTAGTAGGTAGTAGTAGGTAGTAGTAGGTAGTAGGTAGTAGCTAGTAGGTAGTAGGTAGTAGGTAGTAGTAGGTAGTAGTAGGTAGTAGGTAGTAGTAGGTAGTAGGTAGTAGGTAGTAGGTAGTAGGTAGTAGGTAGTAGTAGTCACAACAAGTTTGAACAAGCACAAAGAAAAGGCCAGGGACACAGGATCAGATTAATAGGGGGTAGTAGTGCAGATTATTGATGGGGGACCGGCCCTTGTGAGGGGTACCCTTTGTGAGCTTGTCAAATGATTGTTTTTAATTGTTCTTTAATAAGGCAATGTATAGGCCCTGAGCCCTAGACGTTTTTAAGGATTTCGTCAAACATGTAGTAGGTAGTAGGTGGTGATGGTGGTGGTGGTGGTCGTGGTAGTAGCACGTAGCAGTAGCAGTAGCAGTAGCAGTAGCAGCAGCAGCAGCAGCAGTAGCGCAGCAGCAGCAGCAGCAATAGCGACAGCAATAGCTAGTAGCAGTAGCAGTAGCAGTAGCAGGAGCAGCAGCAGCAGCAGCAGTAGTAGTAGTAGCAGTAGTAGTAGCAGCAGCAGCAGTAGTAGTAGCAGTAGTAGTAGTAGCAGCAGTAGCAAGTATAATGTCAAGTCAGGATAAATAAACCTCCACTAGTTAACCCCTTATTAAAAGTAATATTACTTTTTGTGGATTGTGTAGGCTCGGATTAACTGGGGGGGGTTGTTGGTAGAAAATTAGACAATAGGGGGGGAAATCAACAGCGAATAATACTTTTAATTTGGGCAATTTCCGGCGGCTTTGTGGGCTCGGATTAACTAGGGGAGGTTTATTAATCCTAACTTTACATTACAATCCAACAACGGATTTGTTGGGATGTAGTCTAGTGATCTAGTCTTGTATCCAACTACACTTCAGTGGTCCTGTATCCAAGGCCTGCTGAAAATGCGAATTGGACCCATGAACTTAAGAATGAACGCGTGTTGATGTTAATTGACAAAATGTTGTCTGTGACTCGACAGGAAGCTTTCCTGAGCCCAAAAAAACGAAAAGAAGCGACTTCGGTTTCAAGTGGAACCATCAGAATCTCCGATCCCTGGCACTTGCGAAGCATCTTCTCACATGGCACGTTTCACCGTGGGGAAGGATGATAGGGATTGCGGTGGATGTCCATAGTCCAGATGTCTCAAAGACCTGGGCTGAACATGTCAGTGAATTGTTTGTTGCAACAGTTGTTTCTCTAGAGTCGGTCGAGTCAACCAGCTTGTATCCATTAGGCTGGAGGCCACCGCTAGTAGGAGCGATCGGACGCTACGAACGGGGCTCCTGGCCTTACTACGAGGAACAAAGACGCTACTAGGAACAAAGCACATCGCTACTAGGAGCGATCGGATGCTATTAGGCTGGAGGCCATCGCTCTTATTATCCGTTGTTCCAGGTTGGTCGGTCGGATTGACTGTGGCCAGCTGAAGGTCTAGAGACCTTCAGCTGGCCACGCATGAACTGACAGCGATGTCCATGCCATCACTGTGAACTATAGGTGTTACCATCTGATGTTAGTCAAAAACTGGAATAGGGTGCAGTTGCATTGAATCATTGCTTGGATTTGCTTTGCCTATGTCTACCCGGTGTCATAGCGTTCATGCCAATAGCCGCAATGAACTCCAAGTGATGCAACCACTGGCTCCACCCAGGCAGAATTCATCCCGCTGTGAGTCTTTCTTAGTGGGGTGAGGCGGCCAGGTCTGCCAGGTTGTGCCCCCTTCAGCCCAGTGCACGCCAGCATCGAGCGTATCACAGAGCAAGCCGCGCCATGGCCTGAGTGCAAATCGATTGACAAACTGGTGAAAAAAAAACTACTAGCGATGGCCACCCAAACCTAATGATGATAGCCTCCAACCTGATGGCCTCCACCCTAGTAGCGATGGCCTCCTACCTACTGGTGAAAAAACAAACTCAGAATATGCACCTGAAAAGTGGCTGTTCAGCCAGATCCAACATTCCATGATTCCATATGATTCCATGATAGATTTCTGAACAAGCCGCACTGTCGATGATATGGTACTTCGCGACAAATATTTGCTTTGGCCGGCCAATCTACTGCTTGAATGACCACGAGAAGCCGGACTCGCCCGGTCGCTAATGGACCAAGCAACATGACAGTTAACAGTTAAGACGGTCCTTTACACTCTGACTCACTGACATGGAAGTGGATGGCATTGGTGCTCACTACTTTCCCCAACAGGGGCTTCTCCATTTTCATTTTAGTGAGTCGGAGTGTAACTCTCCTTTTCCTTCTATACGTCCGTCTCACTTGTTCACAAGCTACGAATAAAATCCAGGCAGGTTCAGACAGGTTGATACCTAGTTGGACACTTTGCATCGAGTATGTGGCAAGGATGTGCATGTCATGGGTTTCTCCTCAAATCACACTCAACTAAGCGAAGCCATTGGATGGTACCCCACTGTGGTTCCGTCGAACTGCCACTGGTCCTGTCGACACCACCGGCGGCCCGACGCAAAGCATTCACATTCGTCAGAGCAATAGCCACGTCCTGCAGTTCTGGCCGACGAACGGAGCGATCGGACGCTACGAACGGAGCAAAGGGCATCGCTACTAGGAACAAGTGCATCGCTTCTAGTAACAAGTGCCTTACTAGTAGTAACAAGAAAGCTATTAGGATGCTTTTGATCGGAGATGTTCTGCATGTCCGAGGACCGAAACAACCATTGGTGGGATTGCACCCAACCTGAGGGGTTCGTAGTGGCGATGGCCTCCAACCCTACTTGTTCCTAGCAAGAAGCTTCCTAGTAGTGCGGCCAGGAGCCCCTAGTAGCGTCTTTGCTCCTAGTAGCGATGCCAGGAGCCCCTAGTAGCGTCCTTGCTCCTAGTAGCGATGCCAGGAGCCCCTAGTAGCTACTTGTTCCTAGTAGTACTTGCAAATATGTATATAATATTTGGGAAAGCCCACCTCAGGGTTTCGTAGAGGCCTGCGCTTACCTAATTGGGACCTAGGGCAGTCTTGTGAGGGATTCTCTACAATCCCAGCGGCGCCTGTCTTCGACAGTTCCAAGACCACACCTGGCCATGGCCATTCCACTCTTGGCTGAACTCACTCTTTTGGCAAAGCGAGTTGCAAACTAACCTGAAAAATCTTGCACAGCTAACTTCACTGTTGAATGGAACTTACACATCAGCTTTGGTCCTACAAAAGTAAAATGGGACGATGAGCCTTCCAAAAACTGTCCTTGTCACTTTCCTTGGCTGAATTGCTGCCTCCACAAACCCATCAGTTGGTGCAAAGGCCCTTCACGAGCCCACCGTCGCACCTGGCAACACGGGCTGCCGCAACACCTTGGCCCAACCGGTGAGTTCGGTGAAAAGCCCTTCTTTCTCATGTGGGTTCCCCAAACCAGGTCAGATTGTTCTCCTCCCCCTGGTATTGACGACTCTCTTCTTCTTCCAGGTCTTCAACTAAGGGCTAAATGACTCTGACCACAAATCCCCTCCAAACGACTCAAGGTGCGTCTTTTAAGGGGGGGAGGCCATCGCGGCCATCGGGTGGAGGCCATTTCTATTAGGTTCCTGGTCACTTAGCGAGGGCTCTCAGCTGCTGTCATTTCACTCCAACGAGCTTCCAAACCCACTGGACACGTTGCCGCCGCAAGTCAATGCCCTCCATGGCCTCGGACGAGAAAAGCGAACGGAACAACGGCGCTGAGACATCCTGAGACACCCCTCCAGCCAAGGGCCATACAGCCAAGGCCAGTCTTTACAGATGTCGAAGGCAACAAGACCAGCTTCGAAGGCACCAACTCTTTTTCGGCCAACCTAAGCCTAAGCCTCCGCTGTTACGAAAGCGCCCCCCCGCGTGGCGTCGTCCAGTCGTCGTGTTGAACGTGTTCATCTGGTCTTTGGAACGACGGTTTCTGCGAGAAACCACTGAGAGTGTAGACCGGATGGTTCGAATGGGATAGACCGGATCAACCAATGCAGGACCCCAAAAAACAAGGATCGCCTGCAGGAATAGGAGCCAGCTGAACGTCTAGCTGGATCTCAGTTTTTTTACTTCCGCGTCTGAGACCGAAAATGCTGAGCTGTTTGGAGTATTCTGTTGACTCGACTGTTCCAGACCCTTTTTTTCCTCAGCACTTGAGAAGCGCTCATTCTGGGTCCCTCGCCAAACCTTGAGCCCATGAAGTGCGCCTCAGACGCGTTCGGTTCGGTTTCCAGTTCGGCTGCATCACTCGTTGGTTTCAGTACCAGTCAAGCAAGCAGAATTCTCCTTCAAAGTGCTAGGAAGCAAGCAAAACTCATTTTGTCAGCACCATCGAGAGATTCCTGAGCCTTTCAAGCATCAAACCGCCACAAACCGAAAACCTTGAAAATACTGTCCGAATTCGCCTGCTCCCACAGCGCATGTAGGCCTGAGAAAACGTCTTCAAGACTGACTGTATCATTACTTCACTAAGCTCCATAGGCTGCATAGATGTGTTGCATATTGATCATCTAGCATTTCTAGCATCCTGCTGAGGCACACAAAGACTTGACATCATGAAGGACTTGAGTTTCTGTAACAATGTTAACATAAGAATACATAAGAAAACAAACTAGTAACAAGGGAATTGCTACTAGTAGCAAGGGCATCGCTACTAGTAGCTAATTTGTGCACAAGAAGGGCCGAAAGGCTTTGAAGATGTCCAATACGCCCTCTGAAGCACGAATGAAAAGTCCGGCAAAGTCCGAGAGACAAACACGATGAAATGACCCGCCAAGAACACAGAAAACGAAACATATAGTCACCATAGCCTCCGAGGTCCGAGCAATAATCAAGACTCAAGACAATGGCTCATTCATCAGCGTGTTTTTTTCGACTCTCCCACCACGAGGGCAGACAGACAGACGGACGACGGCGCCAAACACACATGTCCCTTCTGTGTTTTTTCAACAGATGTGACTCAGATGTGTTTCCCTTCTTGTTTCTAATAGCGATGGCCTCGAACCTAGTAGCGATGGCCTCCACCCTACTAGGAAAAAGAAAGGTCCCAACAGTTCCCGACGTTTGGGATCAAAACATGTCAATGATGGAACCACTTTCACCTCGCCTGAGCTGCAACGGACGCCTCATCGTCTCGTTTCACTCTCCCAGCCTCTTCTGCTTGGAGCTCTTGCGCAGCCAAAAAGCTGCAGCTGGCCTCCTCGGCGGCCGCCTGTGACTCCTCACGAACTGCAGTTGGGCGTCGGGCGTCGTCGAGCTGATCCGAGACTCTCAGATTGTAGATCTGCGTGCAAATGCACATGAAGCCCAGTCATGGATGTCATGGATGTTTAAATCCTATGTTCAACTGGAGATACACATATAATATATAATAATACAATACACTACAGTATATTTGTTTTAATATGATGTACTACATTGTGCCTCGCTCTGAGGTCCACCTGTCTATCGGGGATTTCCCAACCGTTGGCACAAACAAGTCACTTGTGCGGCAGAATGGACACAGCTCTGAAGGGCTTCTCAGCCATGTGAGTCGACGACAAGCCTGTAATTATGTCATGATGTGAACCTGGATGAAGGAGGACATCCTAGACATCCGGCAGATGTAAATCGACATGTGGAAATGGAGTGTAGACGACCTGGAACAAGATGACAAAATCTTCCACCACTCAGACTCAGGAAAGGTTTGATCCCTTTAGTTTTCACTCACCATGATCATCATCGATGTCTCAGCGTCTTCAGTGGTGACACCTCCTCCTGCCGAAACCTCACGCCGTCTCCTCTTCATCCATGGCTCCAATGGCCAGCCAGCGCTCATCTGGGACACCGAACTGGCACGCCAAGGCCACTGGGCTCAAGAAGCAAAAACTGTCTCTTCTAAACTGTTTGAAAAAGCTCCGTTCGTAGCGTCCTTGTTCCGTTCGTAGCTTCGGCCAGGAGCCCCTACAGTAGTAGCGTCCGATGGCTCCTAGTAGTGATGGCCTTTGCTCCTAGTAGCGACTGTCTCTGCTTTCCATCAAACAGGTTTTACAAAGATCGCTTTTGGATGAGTGAGTGGCTTGTCTGAGGACATCAGCTGGCAGGCACTCGTGGTTCACTTGTTGCTCCATCTGACTTTCATGAGTTGGCTTATGTTGCACAACTTGTCAACAAGACAAGAACTTGCAAGTCCAGTGGGTTGAGAAACTTGAACATGAATTCCTGACAGCCCATTGCTTGTCGCTCGAAGCTCGTTGATCCCACACTTTCAGGATCAGAGTGAGGGACAAGACTGAACCTCCCTCTAATCACTCTAATCCTTCCAATCCATCCCACAGACTAACTCCAAACCTTCGCTTCCCCTCCGTGCTCCTGCTCCAACGAGAACAGGCTCGCTGCCAAGGGAGAGCAGAACCAGCCACCTCGCCAGGCCTCGTCCGCTCCGTCATGTCGGCCGTCAGCCATGGCCGGTGGGAGACTCCTGGTACTCGTGGTACTCGTGGTACTCGGATGGACGGGGCTTCCAAAAAGGACACCGATGAACCCTTCGTGGTGCGGCATCCTCAAGAGTGCATCCACGAAGATCAGGGACGTCACTTGGATTGAGTGGCAACCTTGGTCGAACCTGAGACTTGTTCAAATTGCGAAAGTGCGCTGGCCACCTTTCTGCACTGCTAGGACTCGGAGGATAGTACACGTAAAACATGGTTTTGGCATGTTTTGGACATAGTAAGGATTCCATCTCTCCCTGTTCATGCACCTGCAAGTACATGATCAACCCATGATCGCCCCAGTGAAACCATCGCCGCAACCCACATGCACGAGAGCGCCTCTTGCAGCTACACACCCCCCGTGTGAGCCAGGCACTGCTACCAAAGTGGCTCAACCACCGAAGAATTATTCAACTGGACCCCAAGTTCGTTTGGCATCGTGCCGAGCCACCGATCTCAGCCCCTTCTCGGTTCCCACGCTTCAAACTCTGCTACATGTCCAGGCTCCTGAAAGGGCGAGCTTTTTCGACGTTGAAATGGCCCATGTACCAAAGGTATCCAAAGGTCCTAGCAGAACATCAGTTCATGTCTGGTCAAAGACCTGCACAGCTGAAAACCCGAAGAGTCTACCTCCACCACTGCCATGGCTTCAAGTTGTTGGGGCTCCGTTTAGCAATGCATCTGACCACAAGAAATGCATAGAAATGCCTACGAATCGAACCTGGACCGACGTGGAGCTTTGCCATCTTCTCTGCTTCTCTGGTGATCGTGTCAAAACCAGGCGAACTCGTGGGAACGAGCAAGAACCTCCATCGAGATGGCGCCCTTCCTCCAGCTGCAGCGCCCGGAAGAGGCTTTGATGTGCGAAGACCGCAAAAAGGTGCTCCTCAGAGCGCAGGTGCAGAACATCTCAGCTTTGATTATCAGGGCAGTGGAAGCTCCAATCTCAGCTTCTCTCAACTTCTCGAGATCCTTTGGGTGCAAAAGAGGGCAACTGGCCAAACGTCCGGTTGCATTGAACTGCTCCAATCCCACAGCATTCTTCTATAGGATCTTGAAGAAGAACATCGGAATGGATTGGATGGATTGGTGTCTTTGGGTTTGTGCGATTGGGATGGCAGGTTTTCGGAGGCCGATTGAACTTGGAGAGAGCGGTGAAAGGGAGCGACACCCAGTATCCCATATTGCCTTTTCGAGGGATGCCATCCTGGGATGCCGAAGTCGGATGTGAGGGAACACCAGAAAAGGCGTACACCGTGCATCTATATCCCAGCCTTATCAGTGGATCACGATGCTTGGATTCCAAAAAGTTGTGATACATCTGAGCCGACTGTTCGTGAGCATCAGGAATGCAGAACCATTCTTGATGCTTGTCTAACCTGGATTTCTGTTGACAAAAAACAATGTCTACACTGCTCACATACACCCCACCCAAACAAAGGATATGTTTTATATTTAAAAAAGTATGTAAATATATAACTTAATGTGGAACTGAGAGTTCGGTATACCCAGCACCTATAGTGACCTAGTTGCGACTTGATCGCCCGGTTCAATCCAAGCGGCGACCTGCAGCAGGCGATACCGGCTCAACATCTTCGTGACCTCCAAACGGCCGAAACGGTGGACGGTGGAGAGTGGACGAGGGATGTCCTTCACGTGTGTTTTGGAAGAGCGAACATAAGGAGGACATCTCCATGGCATCTGGACCATGAAACTTTGGGCTTTGCTTCGTGTTTCGTACTCAAGACCTGCGGATGTTCGAGTACTCGAGTTCGCCAGAGTTGGACTCCCAGGTGTGTTGTTTGCCCTACGGGGTTTGGGTGTCCAACCGCGTGGTTTTCAGTGTCTACCGTTCCAGCTCGCACGCCGTACCTGGCCCGACGTTCCACCTCTCATGTACATGGCCCGACCTATGCCCACCACACCTTCATTGTTGCTGAATCCTTCATACCTTCATAGCCCCCCCCAAAGCACTTGGACCGAGAAAATGGCCCCCAAAACGTCCATGTCTCCGCATATCCTGACCTGGGACAGGGAGCACTGCGCCAAGATGTGGCTGGTCATCGAACGAACCGCCCAGGCATCAGGCTCCTGCAGTTCGAACGAACCGGCAGATCGACGGCGAAAAAGGCGTTCCGGGCTCCGCCCCGCCCCAAAACGGCCGAGCGCTCCGAACAGGCAGGGGGGGTGTTCGCTGGGTGGCATCTCTCTGCACCGACAACTCCCGAAAACCAGTGCAGTCGAACTTCGGTACCGGACTCCTGCATGGTCGGCACCGGCTGGCAGCCGTGGCCATTGAAATGGGAAACGATGCTCTTTCGTTCTTCAGCTCCTTCAAAATACAAAAGAAAAAGGAATGTTCACTGCCCGTCGCTACCCAAACTGACTTAGAGTCTTGTGTGTTCACCAAATGATGAACTTAACTTGTCCGGCCCAATCAACCAAGGACTCTGGTAGCTTGGAACATCCCTCATGTCTATCCCGGCACCAGGCACCCGGTGGAGGACGACACACCCTTTCGTGTGCCACACGAATCCGCCTCAGTGTGGGAGTCCATGACTTTCTGACCTCAGAGGTTGCGAAGAGTCTGACCATTGAAAGTGCGCTTTGAAAATGCCGGGTGAGAAACTGATATGACATCCAATAACGTACTTTATATAATAACTATCCCGCCCTGCCAAGCCTTGCGCTTTCGGTGTAAAGAAGACCCAAAAAGGGCTCCGCGTGGTCGGTCAGTGGATCTTCTTTATAAGCTCAAAGTTCAGCTAGTGACTACAAACGGTCAGGAGCGAGTAGCCTTTGTCGTGAAGGGGTCCCATCATGTAACATATAACAAGTGCCACGCTACTAGTAACAAGTGCCACGCTAGTAGTAACAGGTGCCTTACTAGTAGTAACAAAAAGCTATTAGAATTAAATTAAATAGCTTTCTTGTTACTACTAGTAAGGCACTTGTTCCTAGTAGCGATGCACTTGTTACTAGTAGCTTCTTGTTACTTTATATATGTCTATATCTCAATCAAAAGGGTCCCTGCACTTCACAAAAAAGAAAACACCAGTAGGACTTGGCTGAAAAAAAAAAAACAAAACAGTCAGCCAGGCCTGCCAGGAACGTGAAGAGTCTCAAACAAGAAGCTACTAGGGCCTTAGGGGCTCCTGGCATCGCTACTAGGAGCAAGGACGCTAATCATTCTACCCTGAAGAACGGCAACCAACGGCCCACCACCTCCATGGGCCCCGGCTCAACGTCTGGTGCTTCTGCCTCAGTCGAGGGCAACTCAACCACGTCGAAACCCAGAGTTGGGCCATCGACTCAGCACCTAAGCCTCCAGGCCTCGAAAACTGGTGCAATTTGTAGGAAAACCCTGAGTAAGTTCCTAAGGAAGTCACGTTGGACGCAGGGAAAACTTGGGTATGACTGACGACAAGCCATGTATGACGTATTTGTCCAGTCAGACTTTGCTTGAGCCCCATGTGGGAGCGCCCTCATACACTAAGATGCCAAGCCATCTTGCATTTCGGTCCAAAAAGCCTCGACCTCTCGCCAGGCCGATTTCCAATGAGTCACCAGGGAAAACCTGGGAATCATTCACTTCCAGCAATGGCTTCCAACCGCAAAAGGAACCGATGGCCGCAATGTCCAACCGATGGCCGCGATGGCCTGTAAAACATTGCCCATCCAGCTACATCGGTTCAGGCGTTGTTTTTCGGCTTGCAAGACCTGTCCACCTGCTTGGCGGATCTGTCCTGCAGGTACCCTAAGAGGTTCGATTTGTTTGGCACTTCGATTTGTACAGAAAGACTACCCGTTCTGAAAGAACCTGATCCTTGTCAAAGAGAAAGAGTCAAGCTAAAGGCAACAAATGCCGCTGTGCCAGCTCTGCCTGCTGTATTTATTGTTCAAGGGATTTGGTAGATTTGGGGGAGCAAACGTTCTTCAAGAGACACCATGGCTGCTCTGTCGTTGAGCGATCTTGGCTGCAGAAACTCCTTCAAAAGAGGAAGAACATGTAAAGGACAAGGAAGAAAGGTAACAAAAACACTTGTAAAAAAATACAATAATAAAGAATACCGACCAAGACCCTTCACCCAGCGCTCTTCTTCCCGCCGCGTACACAGTGCACGCTAGAACCTAGATTGTTTTGAAGTCCCCACCGTAAAATTATTCTGGTTGGCTTTAACTGGGCCAAGTAAAATCAACACAAGTCCCAGATTCTCCAAATAACTCTTCTGTAAATCCCTCTTTCCCACATGACAAGCACGAAGGAGGTGATTTTGGACTCATTTGACCATCCGAGGAACGAAGCTCAACTATATAACCGAGCTCCCGGCCAGTGACGAACGAAGTC